GGTAGGTGCGGGCGTCGGCATGCGATGGCGACAGCGGCTTGGGCGCGGGAGGCGCGGCAGGCGCGTCGACGCAGACCAACGAGCGCGACGGGCTTAGCAAGGCGGGCGTGGAGCAAGAGGCCAGCGGGGCTAGTGGGGCCAGCGGGGCGCGACAGGGCAGCAGGGGCTAGTGGGGCCAGCGGGGCACAATGAGGCTAGCGTAATCACGTGACCTATGGTGCACAGTGGGGCCAGCAAGGCCGACGGGGCCAGCGGGGCGCAACGGGTCCGGAACAAAGGCCACGACTAGGTGATATGATCCTGAAGCAGTACGAGAAAACAATTCCGATATGACTTGCTAGGAGAATTGGCACCTTATCTGTCGCAAATGCGGAGAATCAATCTACACCAATGGGAGCTAGACTATAGGGTAGGCACAAGGTGTGAGTGATCGCATCGCTCCTTTGCATTCTCTCTGCTTCGTGTTCTTGTTCCTTCAGAGGGAGAATCGGTAAGAGTTTCACGAGAGAAGGTTTGGAACAATGGTTGCAAAAATAATGGCGAAACTGACTACATTAGAAGCAAGTCGGCCTAGCAGACAGGCAGGTCGACCTCCACCGCAGCAAAGTCGGCACTGCAAGTCATCACCTCTCCAGCGCTGCAGAATGGCGGCTTGCCAACATAGCAAGTCGGCGGCTTGCCAACGCTACAGCAAGGCGACCGTCCAAAGTTGCATCCGCAGGTGATAGCAGCGCACGCGTGCGCACCTACTTTGCAGGTGGTTGCAGCCGGTTGGTGTGACGTGAACCGTCACGTGCACGAAGTAGGTGCCAAGTCAGCCACGTACCGTTGACTGCGCCTGATGAGCCACGTCGACTTCTAGATACCACTCCGAGGTCGACTTTGCCAGAACTTCCTGGGCGACGGTTGCGGCTCCCCGCACAACCTCGTCGCCCAGGTAACTGGGTCGACCGGGAAACCACCAAGTCGGCGTCGACTTGCGAGGTAGTTGTTCACCAACTACTGTATGCGCTTGTCGACCACCCACTGACTTCACCAAGTTGGCAACTCCTCAGGTCGACGAGCCCTTCGTCGACTACACCAGTTGTTTGTCGACTTCAAGAATTCGGCCTCCCAAGGTCGGCGCCCCTCCTAGGTTGACGAGTGTTGTTCAGGATCCGTCACTTTGAGAGCTTACGACGAACTCATTACTCAACTAAACGCAAATCCGCTCAGTAGGAAGTTGCGCCTTAGGCTTAGCTACCATCTCCAAGTTGAATCAGTCGTTAAGATGGTCTATAGAGTGAGAACCAAGTAAAAACGTCCAGCAGCCGCATGACTAAAATGGTAGAGGAAGTACAAGCATTAAGGCATAGGAAGTTGGAGTTGGGAACCTCCAAGAGAACCATGAGAGGGAAGGGGTTCTCCAAGAGCTAGGGAAGGATGGTAGGAACCTTCCTAGCAGTAAGGATGCAACCCTCATCATGAGGTCCTTGTGGTGTCACATGCAAAATCCAATCTAGTTGGATTTTGCCTAGGTGTTGCAACATTTGCAACCCATGCTAGAAACTTCTAGCTACCCCAATTCAAAAGTCAAAGTTGCCTTCCTAGCCACCCAACCAAAGATCCCTAGTCATGTCCCAAGTAATCACCCAAATTAGATATAACCCCAAAAGGTAATAAGAAATCCAAATCTTGGAAATCTTGTAACTTGGGCGATCTTGGTCGGAATAAGGTGATCTTGGTATCGTTGGAAAGCTCTGGATTTCTCCTGCATGATCAAGCATTTAAACTTGGAGAAAAACACAGAGATGATAATATCCAACAGCCATGCACAATGACATACGCTCATGCAAATCATGCAAGCACAAATAGCACGAGCACTCGGCAGGACGTTAGGATGACCTGCACTCAGAATGACGTGCATCCAACAAACTCCCCCTCAGACTAATGGACTGCATGCACACACACTCACACAAATGCAAACTCTCATGCACGCAATCTCACATGTATTCATGACACTGCTGCCTTCACTAGTGCAATGCCATGCCACACATCTTAGCACACTTCCAATGTGCGCTCTCGGGAAGTCTCTTGGTGAGAAAATCTGCCGCCTGCTTGCTAGCCTTCACATGGTGAAGCTCAACAGCTCCCTCCTTCACCATCAGCCTCACCCAGTGCCACTTAATCTTCATGTGCTTGTTCAGCCCATTCAGGATAGGATTATTGGCCATGCCAATAGCAGCCTCGCTGTCGGAGAAAAGTGGTGTAGGTCCCTCCCGTTCAGCTCCCATGTCCTCCAGCAGCTTCCTTAGGAGCACGATCTCCTTGATGGCATGGTACATCGCCATGTACTCTGCCTCTCCAGAAGACTGAGCAATCTCACTCTGCTTCTTGGACCTCCAGCTCACTGGTCCACCTCCGACCATGCACACAAAGCCGCCAACCGATGACTGATCCTCATCCTCTGAGGCCCATGTGGCGTCGGTGAAGCACGACAGCTTCAAGGTACCAGGCGTGACCCCATCTGCTCCAATCTATTTCAGCTGGCCGCCAGCTGAAAACTGAACACCAGCAGATGCTGTTGATCCGAGGTAGCGCACCAAGCGCTTTGCCACCTCCAACTGCTCCACAGTGGGCCGTTGCACAACTCTGGCCAGCTGCCCCACTCCGAATGAAGCATCAGGTCGCGTATGCACAGCTGCATACATCACACTCCCAATGAGTGACTGGTACTCATTCTGTTGCTCATCCTCAAGCACATCATCCTCCTCAGCTGCCTTCTTCAATTTGAAGCCTGCAGGGAACAGTGTCATCACAGTGCGACCCCTAGTCACACCATACCGCTCCATGACACCAGAGATGTAGTGTGACTGATGCACCTTCAGCCACCTCCTCTCAACATCCCTCTCAATCTGCAGCCCCAAGTAGTAGTGGACATCCCCCAGCATCTTGCACTTGAAGTTGTCCATCAGCAGCTTCTGTGTCCTCTCAATCTGCTCCATGGAGGGTGAGAACAGCAGTATGTCATCGACATACACCAGCAACAAAAGCAACTGCTCCCCCTCTCCAAGCAAAAACAAGCTGTGATCCGCCTGGGACGTCTTGAAGCCTCCACCCAGCAGCACCTTTTCCAGCTTCTCGTACCAACACCTGGGCGCTTGCTTAAGGCCATAGATGGCCTTCTTAAGCTTGCACACCCGGCTGGTCCCATCCTCATAGCCGTCGGGCTGCGCCATGTAGATACCCTTCAGTAGTATTCCATTGAGGAACACAGTGGTGATATCCATCTGCTTCACGTGCCATCCCTTCACAGCTGCGCCAGCCATCAAAGTCCTCAATGTCAATGGCTTAGCAACGGGAGCGAAGATCTCCCCAAAGTCGACCTTCTCCTTCTGCTGAAACCCCTTGGCGACCAAACGGCTCTTGAACCGCTCCAACGCACCATCAGCTCCACTCTTCACCTTGAAGACCCACTTGCTGCTGATCGGCCGTCGCCCCTCGGGTAACTCAACAAGCTCCCAAGTCCCATTCTCAATGAGACTGTTGAACTCCGCATCCATGGCAGCCCTCCACTCCTCCTTCTGGGGTCCACTGAGTGCCTCCTCCACTGTGGCTGGTTCTCCAGGCAAGGGTGTGAAGAAACAGAACGCCATCTCCTCATCCTCTCCCTTATCCGCCTGAACCGCCATGGCACCTTGCTTGGGTCCTCCCAAACGGCTATACTTCAGCCTTGAGGGTGCTGCTGCCACTCTCTTCTCACGGGCTACAGTCTGCTGCCCATGTGGTGAAGCTCCTCTCTGCAAACTCCTCTTGGTGACCTCGGCGTTTGCAGCAGGCTCAGGCTGAGATGGTGAGTCCACACGTGCCGACTCATCCTCCAACCCCTCCTCCGCAGTAGGACCAGCGCCTTGCTGCTCACCACCGCCACTGTGGTCACTGGTCAGCTCTGACCCATGGAGTTCATCAAGGTGCAGCTGAACCTCCTCCACTGCAGACCGCTCAATCTCATGCAGGCGCAAGCCAATCTGCACCTGCTGGTGCTGCTGCCAGTCCTTGTACATGACGTCCTCCACAAACTTGACATCACGGCTGACCAGCGTCCTCTTGCTCTTGGGGTCCCACATCAGCCACCCCTTCAAGTCAGGTCCCATCCCAAGATGGACAGCCCACACAGCAGCAACTTCCAGCTTGTGCCTCTGCTCCTTAGGCACCATCACAAGCCCCATGCAGCCCCACACACGCAACATGTCAATAGACGGCTTCTTCCCAAGCCAACGCTCGTACGGCACCCAATGCTTGTCGCCAACATGAGTCAAGACCCTGTTCTTGACCGTGATGACATGGCGAACAGCTTCAGGCCAGAACTTGTAAGGCATCCCAGCAGCCCCCAACAAGGTCTTAGCCGCCTCGCCAATGGTCCGGTTGGCACGCTCAGCAATGCCGTTCTGCTGCGGTGTTCCAGGGCAGGTCAGCTGATGTCGGATGCCATTTCTCTTGAGGAACTTGGTGAATTCCGCTCCAAGGAACTCTCCACCTCGATCGCTCCTCATCACCTTCACCAGCCGCATCGCTTGCCGCTCCACCATCGGCAACCAATCCTCCTTGATCGCCGCTGCAGCATCGCTCTTCTTGGACAAGGGACGTACCCACGTGAAACGGCTCCATTCGTCCACCATGGTGAGGAAGTACAGCACTCCCCCAGTCCCCTCAGTCCTCATAGGACCCACCGGGTCCATGTGCACCACCTCCAATGGTGCCTTCGCTGATCCCTCCGCACGTGGAAACGGGAACCGCGCAAACTTGTTTTGCATGCACGCCTCGCAGCTGCCATAGTGAGTGCCATCTCCTTGCAGTTGCAGCCCATGCACGCACTTCTCCTTGTGCATCACCTCCAGTGTTGAAACAGCCACGTGTGAAAGTTGCCGATGCCAAGTCTCCCAATCCGCTTGGCCCGAGGTAGCCGACCCCTTCACCGCCGCGCTTCCTCCAATCAGCTCTTCTCCTTGCACACCTTGCTGCTACTCCTCGGTGACGCTCTCCTCCATAGATGCCGCCGCTGCCGCCTTGCCCGATTTCTGCCAAGGGAGGACCGGGATCTGCCACATCCGCTTGTGGACATCTCTCTTCCACTGCAGGTCCCAAATGAGGCGCTCATCGTTGTAGGCACGATAGCGCTCCGAGCCAATCGTCTCGGTGTTCACACCCGCATCTCCCAATCGGCCGGTAGATATCAGGTTCGCGCACAAGTCCGGCACCCACAGCACGTTCTTCAGCCCCACGAGCTCTCCATCCGCTCCCATGAACTTGGCGCATCCCATGCCCATGACCTTGGCCTTTGCGCCCGTCGCGGATGTGACTGTAGAGATGGGTGCGGGCTGAATCTCATCAAGTAGGTCCGCACGGGGAGTCATGTGCCAAGAGCTCCCGGAGTCAATCACCCAATGGGTGAGGGGGTGTAGGAGAACCTTGGCAGCCATAGCGTGGTCGGTTGCGCCTTCGTTCATGAAGAAGAAGAACCCGGCCTTCCGCTCCTCAGATTTGCCGCCTTTCTCCTCATCCTTCTCCTCTCCACTAGCTCCCATGACTCCCCCACTCCTTGTGCCACCACGCTGGTTGCTTGATGAAGGCGGGGTCCAATCCTTGGGTCGTTGGTAGCACTTCCGCCAACGATGTCCGCGCTTCTTGCAGTAGAAGCACACCTCCCCTTGACCCCCGCCGCCATCCTCCTTAGGGTTATCCTTATTCTTGCCCTTCCACTTCTTCTTGAAGCTACTCTTTCCACCTCCAACTCCATAGCCAGGCCCCTCCTCCGAGCGCTCCAGACTCCGCCGCCGCAGGTCCTCCTCTAGGATGCGCGCGCGAATGTAATCCACGCTCCATTGGGGTTGTTGGGAGTTGAGGTTGATCGCAAGGGCAGACCACGACTCCTGCAGCCGTATCACGATCTCCACGCATTGCACGAGCTCCGGGTACGCCACACCGCCTCCTTGGAGCTTCGTGAAGATGTCGCGCATCTCATCCAACACCGGTTGCATCGGCTCTCCATCAACGAACTTGATGTTGCGCAGCCGCTGCGCGAGTAGCACGATGCCGGTAGCATATGTCGGTGAGTGGCACATCCAGAAGCTTCCTCCAAGCCTTGGGGCCATACTCTGGATCACCCAAGAGGTCCTTGATGTGGTCAAGTTGCCGTCCGCCCACCGCTTGCACCATGAGCATGTACGCGTCGAACGATCGTTTCATCCACGCTCCTTTCAGCTCCGCGGCCTCCGGCATCTTCTCCTTTCCCTCCACCAAATCCAATAGCTTGTATTGGGTATACATCAGCCTCATGCGGAAACTCCAGTGCTCATAGTCCTCCCCCATTAATTTCTCAATAGAGAAAGCTTTCATAAGATCCACGGTAGTAGAAGATGGTGTAGAAGAAGTAGGTAGCGTAGGGTTGGCTGGTTGGTGAGTCCCCACTCCTCCACCAGCAATTCCCCCCTGCTCTCCAGCCTCTCTACTTCTATCCATCTCGCCACTAACACCTCCGGAGTTCGTACCAACCATATTGAGGCCTTATGAACAGTGGAAACTTGAGAAATCGTTTGGGGAGAATTCTGCCAGAAATTTTGATTCTACAAAAATCACGGTCGCGGACTGGATACTTCGAATTAGAACGCGTTTCGACCACCAATCGAAACTTCGCACGCCGAGCTACTAGAAAATGGTCTCACTGGACAACATTGGTTGGGAATTAACCACGATTTGTCATCTCAAAGTCGACTACCCGCTCTGATACCACTTGTTGTTCAGGATCCGTCACTTTGAGAGCTTACGACGAACTCATTACTCAACTAAACGCAAATCCGTTCAGTAGGAAGTTGCGCCTTAGGCTTAGCTACCATCTCCAAGTTGAATCAGTCGTTAAGATGGTCTATAGAGTGAGAACCAAGTAAAAACGTCCAGCAGCCGCATGACTAGAATGGTAGAGGAAGTACAAGCATTAAGGCATAGGAAGTTGGAGTTGGGAACCTCCAAGAGAACCATGAGAGGGAAGGGGTTCTCCAAGAGCTAGGGAAGGATGGTAAGAACCTTCCTAGCAGTAAGGATGCAACCCTCATCATGAGGTCCTTGTGGTGTCACATGCAAAATCCAATCTAGTTGGATTTTGCCTAGGTGTTGCAACATTTGCAACCCATGCTAGAAACTTCTAGCCACCCCAATCCAAAAGTCAAAGTTACCTTCCTAACCACCCAACCAAAGATCCCTTTATAGTCATGTCCCAAGTAATCACCCAAATTAGATATAACCCCAAAAGGTAATAAGAAATCCAAATCTTGGAAATCTTGTAACTTGGGCGATCTTGGTCGGAATAAGGTGATCTTGGTATCGTTGGAAAGCTCTGGATTTCTCCTGCATGATCAAGCATTTAAACTTGGAGAAAAACACAGAGAAGATAATATCCAACAGCCATGCACAATGACATACGCTCATGCAAATCATGCAAGCACAAATAGCACGAGCACTCGGCAGGACGTTAGGATGACATGCACTCAGAATGACGTGCATCCAACAACGAGTCCCTTCGTCGACCACCCATCGAAGTCGGCCATCGGCTCTCGTCGTTGGCGGCTTTGTATCGGCCATGTACTGCTCGACCAAGTCCGTCGACCTACTCGCCCAACTCGGCGTCGCCGAATGCAGACGGTCGGCTGCACCTCCTGAACATCCGACCATGACGTTAGCTCCGCCCAAGCGAGAACGAGGCCAACTCTCGTTAACAGCAAAACCCTAGCATTTATTTAAAACATTGGTTACAATTCCAACTGGCATATCATAGCTATTGATTGATATATGAAAAAAGAAACTGGATTTTATGTGTGAGGAAAATTATAATTCACAAGAGCTTATCACCCTCAGCAATACAGAAATTGTCTACAGAGAACTTAACAGTGGGTTTTTTGCATGTGCATTGACTATCATGCGATCGGCCAAGTGAAAATAAAATAAAGTTAACCGTCACGATGCCTACAAACTGTGTGCATTGTCCACGTCTTTACAAAAATTGACATTATGGAGGTCACTACCAGATCAGTGATTGAGAAAAGTTGAGCAATGAATGAATGAACTATGATGAGTGAGTACAAGTACTAACCCTAATTGAGTTGTACCCCTTATAGGCTACCCCACTATAGCCTACACAATATGCAAAAGCTATATGTTCTGACACACCCCCATAGGCAAAGTGGGGGAGAACAAGGGGTCACAAGACCAGTCAAGCAAGGAAAAGCAAAGCAAAGCAAGCTCAGGGTGGATCGCAAAGTCACCACACAGTCCGAGCACAAAGTCAAGGCCACAAGGCCAGTTCACATGCAGAAGTGCACATATATATATATAACACTAAACAAGCAAGAGCAGGTATATATATATATATATATATATATGGAAGAGGACAAGAAAGATCAAGAGGTGAGCAAGTGAGGTAAGACACGTACAAGTCCTAGCTGAGTGCAGAAGCGCTGATGATCACAAGGCGGAAGTGCCTTGGTGAAAACATCAGCAGTATTGGCCTCAGAGGCCACGTACGCAAGTTGCAACTGACCACGCTGCTGCAGCTCACGAGCAAGAAAGTAGCGGAGAGCAATGTGCTTCGTTCTGTGCTCAAGGCGCTGCTCTCGACACAAGGCCAACATGGCCTTGTTGTCTACGTACAGCACTAGAGGAGAACGAGGCGGCTCTCCAAGGCCAGTCAGCAGGTAGGTGAGCCAACGAAGCTCCTGAGCAGCCATGGCCCCGGCGTAGATCTCAGCCTCACAACAGGAGCCGAGAACAGAAAACGAGCGAGTAGCCCGCCACGAAACAGAGCCGGAACCAAGACTGAAGGTGTAACCCTCTGAGGACCACTGAGTAGCCTGGTCGTCAGCCCAAGACGCGTCCGCGTGCCCAGTGAGGACCACTGGACTCCGCCCTCCAAGCACTAGCCCCATGCCCGACGTACTGCACAAGTAGCGCAACACCCTCTTCGCTTCAGCCATGTGCTCTGGTCGGTGTCTCCCAGGAGCAACATAGCGCGCAAGAATGCTAAGAGGGTATGCAAGGTCAGGTCGAGTGCACGTCATCAGGTACATGAGGCAGCCAACAAGCTCTGGGTACGGGCCACTCGACTCTACGGACTCATCCGAAGGCAGAGCTGAGAGCGAGTGGCGAGTAGGCAGAGGAGTGGCCTGAGGCGAGGAGTACGTGAAGCCGAAGCGCTGAAGGACTTGCTGCACCATGTGTGACTGAGTCAGGGTAGTGGTGCGCTGTGCTCTGTCCCGGGTGATCTGCAAGCCAAGATAGCTGCGCAGTTCACCCAGGTATGTGCACGTGTGTCTCTTCTGCAGCTCGGACTTCACGTAGGCGAGTCCATCAGTGTCAGCTGTGGCAAAGACCAAGTCGTCGACGTACACGAGGATGTAGAACGGCGGCAGAGAGGTGTCGGTGCGCAGAAACAACGACGGGTCAGCAGTAGAGGGAGCAAACCCAAGAGCCGCAAGCGTAGTCCTCAGTGTGTCGTGCCACTAGCGCGGTGCCTGGAGGAGACCGTAGACTGGCCGTCGGAGGCTCCACTGGGTGCCAGGAGGGAAAGTCCCAGTGAAGCCAAGTGGACGGCGCAGCCATATCTCCTCGTGCAGGCTACCTTGCAAGGAAACAGTGCTGAAGTCAAGGGAGTGCAGCTCGTAGTCACGCTGAGCAGCTATGTGTAGCAGCACCCGAAGAGTGGTCATCTTCGGGGTGGGAGAGAAGGTCTGAAAGTAGTCAACTCCCTGCCACTGACTGAAGCCACGAGCCACGTACCGCGCCTTGAAGACAGCTGGAGAACATGGCGGCCGCTTCACCCTGAAGATCCACATGCCATTGACGATGTTCGCCCCAGGAGGGGGAACTGCGTCAACGTAGGTGCCTGTGGACTTCCATGAAGCCATCTTTGCATCCATAGCTGCCTGCCACTGAGAGGAGTAGGGACCCTCTACGGCCTCCGCGTAAGAGCGCGGAGTCGGGATGTCTAGTGCATCCGGGTCTCCCTCAGGGGCAAGCAGTACGGACGCGAGTTGAGGTGAAGCAGCTGCCAGACACTGGAACTCCTCCTGCCTGTCCTCAAGGACGTCCGTGCCAAGAGCACACTCACCCCCGACGGACGGAGGACAGACAGACCCAGACTCAGCAACAAGACTGGCAGCGTAGTCTAGACGATAGCGAGCAGCAAAGTCGAAGAGCTCAGCAACAAGAGCAGACGCAGCAGTGGTCTCAAAAGAGGGGTCAGTGATGACACTAGCAAGGAGACGCGTGAAAGTAGAACTGGTAGCACAAAGAGAGTCCGACTCTGGGTCGGCAAGCGCAGGAAGAGAGGACGTAGGAGGAGAAGGCAAAGTGACACGCCGAGGAGCAGTGGACAGACGCAGAGACATCCGGTGCATGCCAGGGACAGGAGGAGGACGCTGACGTGAACCGCGACCACTAGCGCGAGCAGCACAAAGAGGCGGCGCGGGACGAGACGCAGGCTCACGACGCTCAGCAAGACCTCCAGTAGGACCAGTGTAGGGAGAGGGAGCAGGAAGTGGGGAGGCGGGCTCTAACTGTGACTGTGACTGGACAGGTGGTGGACACTCTACAGGAGGAGAAAGACCAAGAACCTGCTGTAGGAGCGGAACGAAGCACGGCCGAGGCCGCGCAGCAACTCCAGACACAGTAGGGACAGCACCAGCACCCTTAGCGGCAGCACCAGCGCCAACAGAACCTCCAGCTGCAGGACCTCCACCAGCACCAGCAGCACATGCAGCAGGACCACCGCCAGGAAGCACAGCAGCAGTCTCAGCACCAACACCCTCTGCAGCTCCAGGCGGATCCGAAGGCCCTGCAGCTCCGGGACCGAGGCCACAAGTACCCTCAGCGGCCGAAGAAGCTCCAGCTCCAGCAGTACGCCTCCAGCGGCGAGCAAACTACTCGCGCAGCTTCTGTGGAGAGAGTGGCTCCCGCCGAGACGAAGCACCAGGAGAACCTCCAGGCCCCACACCGCCAGACACCACAAGGGGTGGTCCAGTGGCCGCAGGGTCCGCAACTCCAGGCTCAGCAGCTCCAAACGCAGCACCCCGTGGCTCAGCACCCTCAGGATTAGCACCCCCAGTCGCAGCACCCCCAGGCTCAGTACCCCCAGACTCAGCACCCCCAGACTCAGCACCCCCAGGCTCAGCACCCCCTTACTCAGCAACCCCAGGCGCAGCACCCCCAGGCTCAGCACCCCCAGGCTCAGCAACCCCAGGCTCAGCACCCCCAGGCTCAGCACCCCCAGGCTCAGCACCCACGTGCGCAGCACCCCCAGGCTCAGCACCCGCAGCAGTACCAGAGTCACCAGCAACCTCGACTGGCTCAACTGCTTCTACCTGGGACACACCTGAAGGGGCAGGACCCTGAGAGGGGAGGGGGTCTAACGCGGGGGGACCTGGCACAAGGAAGTGCGGTGGCGGGGGGAGGGAAGGAGTGCGGTAGGGGAA